CACTCATTTCTCGCAGTTTTTGGCACGCTAGCTTTTTCCAGAACCTTCCATTACTTTTGCAGCAAAGTGCTAGTGTAGTAAAATAGTCTTCAAACGTATGTATGTCACTCAAGCACCATTTCTTCCTTTTCTTCCGCCAAAAAAATGAGTGTGTAAGCAGCACCTCTTACACACACAAGCAAAACATATAACTTGATGTGCTACACTTTGCTGAGTAATGGGACTTGTCTTTCATCAATCATACTTTTTTGAATTCCTTGCGAGTCTTACGACTTCCTCAGTGCAAAAGTGCAAAACTCTCCCAAAACTCACCCTTTTGATCACTACACTATCCAGATTGTTCTTCTCCTGAATTGGCTCGGTATCAGACGAGTTGCCATTCTCTTGGCGCCCAGCTGGCAGGCATTTTGCGAGGTCATCCATAGTAAAGACAAATGTATCCTGAAATAAATTAGTGACTAAAATATGCATACTGATTGTTTCGAATTGACCAAATCTACTTGAAGCTTAATTGTTCGTTATCTTATCGGGGAGGGAAGAAGGATCAGTGTGGAGAGGGAAAGGGGGAGGAGAGGGCACGATAGAAGTGAAACGTTATGGCTAATGTTTACCTAAGCTAACCAAAGGTTATCAGTCACCGACACTGGTTTGTATTGCTCCCTTCCGACCCTCTATGTTATGGCAAGCTGTACTTGCTACATTAAAAAAGTGCAAACACTGCATACTACTAATATCATTTATGAGTTATCTACAGGCAAGATATATGTGAATCGAAACTCGCTCAGCAGTTAAAAAATCCTGGGCATGTTTGTAATAATGCCCACAATTCATTTGTAATAAAGGATAAAAAAGCTAATTTGATTCTGCATTGCTTACTTCGGTATGGAACGGTTTATTTTTTGTGTTTTAGCCGGCTTCAACTTTTTTGCTCATTATAAGAACTTTTCTTTTGAGCATTTACCAAACATTTTCATATTTTCTGTTTCTTTTGGGATTTAACTGTTTTATATTAAGGTAACCAAAGGAGAATCAAATTAGCTTACGAAGAAAACATTTTTCCAACTTTCTAAATTATGAAGATTTTGGAGCGCGCAATTAGGCCTTGGTGATTAATAGAATCTAGACACCGTGAACTATCCAGTTAGGCACAGCTACCTTTTCCAGCATGTTAACAAAAAAAAATTACTTGAGATCTTTCACGCAAATTCAATGTATTGTCCAATCAGAACAAGAAGGACGTGAAAAAACCTCAGAGTTATAGAAAACCTCGCACATTGCAAAGTTCTAAAATAATTCCATCTTTGTCGACATTCTTATGAACAGTCAGTGTCACTTTCTGCTATGTTTACAACAACACTTGTTTTATTGTTATGTTCACTCTTCCGAAGCTCCCTTGTTCCTTTCTCACGTACGCATTCCAAATTAAATGAAAAAAATACATAACTATTGCAAAGTTATTGACCTTTGTTCTCACCTTGCTGTATTAACAACAACCCATGATGAAATGATCACAAATTATTATGAGTTAGGATCTATTTCAAAAATTGCATGGTGATTTAGGTAGTCACTGAACAAGAGTAGAAAGCTCTG